CTTTTATTTCTTGTTTTGTATCTTTTATCGTTTACCCCTATACCTCTGTTTTTTTTTTATATATAAAATCTTTTTTTGTTTTTTTGCTTTTCTACGAGAAGACGTCATCAGATTGGTGGTATCCTATTGTAGGGTGGCAGTCAGACGAGCAGCTTACTTCTGCTTGAGGTAGTGCAGCAGATCGCACTTAGTACCAATAGGGTGGCCAGATGATGTTGGACTTAGTTATTAGAAAAATTCTCTGTAATTTGTATAATTTCAAGAATTCTAATAAAGTACTAGCATGACTGCTTAAGTTAAAAAAAAAAATATATATATATATATATATAATATTAAGAAAATCAAACTATAAAGAGTGTGGTGATCTAGTGAAGTAGATAAGTTGTCAACCCCCAAGTGGCAGGTCTAGAGTTTAAATCTTAATGACAATAAAAATTTCAATTCTTTCTGTATTACAGTTAACTGTTTTTTGTGATTAGTTAAAATAAGATACTTGTAACTCATGTTATACCAGTATGATTGAAAGATCTAAGCACTTGTACAATATTGTATGAAGAAACACAAACTGGTACCAGGCAGTATGAACTCAAGATAAGTCTTTAGACTATGTAAATCACAGTAACTAGGTAGAAAAACAAAAGCCTACTTGGAAGACCTAAGTAAAGAGATAACCCAACTTTTAATAGTGTTACTATAAAGACTAGACTTATAAAACAGAGCTAGAACTTGTAAAACCAGACAAATGTGCTAGTCTTTAAGAAGAAACTGAATGAACCAATTAGGCTGTTAAAATTTTCAGATTTTAGAGAAAAAGGATATATGTTAGCAAACATGTAAATTAGAGGTGTATGGTTTTGATTTATCTTTCTGGACTATTTGGAATGGTAACTTAGTAGAACTTGAATTGAATACCAAAGTAGTAAAAATATGTTGTAAAGTCAGTACTAGGGTTAGAGTAAATTCTACAAGGGCATAACAGTTTAATAATATGCCCTAACTGCTAGTATTGGTCTTAGATATAGCGATACTAGGTCAACTGTAAGAATAAGATACAGAAGATTCTGGAAGGTTTAGTACAAGGTTAAAGGTTCTCTATATAAGTGAACTGCTTTAAAGACTTAAAAGCTATAGCATATTTTCACTGATATTGGCTGAGGTCGTTGGTAGGCAGAAGTAGATAGATGGATACAGAAACTAGAATAGTTAAATAGAGAATCTACAAGCAGATTCCAGGTATGGCAGCTAGTATAAAACCTTCAAACAGACTACTTAAATTAGACAATAACTAAAGTTATATGAGTGGCTAGTTGTATACTCTTTTCATGATTGCTATCTGTAGTTGTAATGCAACTATTAACCAAATATACTATTAATAAAATTCTAAGTTGCAAGTACTTATCTTAATATTTAAAAAAAAAAAAATCAAACTATAAAGTTAAGTTATTATTAATAAACAAAATAAAATATAATAACTTAGTAAAATAAATAACACTTTTCTAAGTAGCAAATTGTAAGTTTAAAATTTACTAAAAACAAAATTTAAAAAATATATTTGTATTATAGCAATAATATTCTATTAATTAGTTATTTTAAAATACTTGTAACTATAATTATACTAATATAACTAACAGATTATAGAATATTTAGAAGGGCTTATAGCAAAAAATAGCTTTAAAAAAATCATATAATTTTGAAAAAATCATATTCAAAATTGGTATATAACTATTATATATATCATATCAAAATAATTAATTCAAATTATAAATTTTTTTATTAATATATTTAGCAACAAAATTTGTTTTTATAAAGATATTTATTAGTTAATTAGATATTATATAAAATCTTAAAATCTGATTGGTTGGCTAAAAGCCATCATTTGCTATAAGCACTTTATTTGTATAATCTTAATTATATAAATAGATACAAACTAGTATTAAATAATACAAACTTAAGATAAGTTTTTATAATTATATAAATCTGTAAATTAAAAAAAAATAAAAAAAATAGTGATCTTAGTATAGTAGTTAAGTTGTTATCTTTCAAGTAGTAGATTCAGAGTTCAAATTCTATTGATACTAAAATTTTAAAAAATAGTTCTAATGTACTATAGAAAACTGTACTATATTACCAAACAATACTGAACACAATGTCAAAAATCTGTCAGCTAAATTTTTTGAAGAATCCTTCAAATACCACCCTGCATCTACAAACTTTGACTCAAACTTAAGTGCCAAAACTAAATGGTTACATCCAATACTTAACACTGCAATTTTCAGATATGATAATGATTTCCCAGCAACCT